TGACGAGAGCCGTGAGTCGGAATTTTCAGGCTCTGAAGACGGGTGGACGATAGGATTACCTGAAAAACCAGAAACATAACAAACCTTCCCTATTGAACGTTCTTCTGAGGTGCAATACTAGTGTGTTTTGCCCTCAGAAAGAAACTCGCATTATAAATACTAATACATTGAAAGAATTAGGAAGGGAAACTCTCTGAGGACATACCACTAGAGTACGAACAGCAGTGCTGGCTAACCTACGATCTTCACTATCGTTCAAATAAAGTAGACAACGATAAGGTCAAGCAGATAGACACACGGCAGCCCAGCATGTTCAACCAGTCCGCAAAATGACTGCCTGAAATAAGCAATCGGACAGTCGCACTCAGGACTGACTAACATTAAAGCCGCGCACGCTGTTTAGCCCGGACGCCTCTGAATGAGTGTCTATTTCGGCATCTTGGTCGCGCCCTACAAGGTAACTCTCTTCAGTACCCAAATTAATGTACATTTAGGGAGAGCGATCCATAACTTAAGAGTAGCAGATAAAGACAGGATCTAATGACAAACCTGGGAGCGACTATGTTCGACGGAATTTGAACCGTTGCCATTAAAACGGATGCCGCCTCCGCCTGAATCCGTGTCCTCGAATTCGGAGATATCATTAATTTCGGGAGACTGGCCGTAGTATGGCAACGTGACAGGACACTTTAGAGGACTGGGTAAACTCGCATGGGTCATGGCAAGAAGCTGGCGTCGGGATAATTTCCGATTCTGGATAGGCAGAGCCTCAGATCGCGTTTGCACTAGACATAAAAACAAAAAGCTTACGTTTTTTATATAAAAAGGAATGAAGGTGACAGGAGCTATGGAAGTTTCATAAGTAGGATTTGCTTTTTATGTAAACTAGGAAAATAAAAAAACTACTCAATCAGAAGATATTTTCCTTGGGAGGCACCCCAACCACTAACCTCCTGACCTTGCCTGCATCTTCTAACCACCCGATCTATCAGAAGTTGTCACGCGGCTGTGTGCATGATCCAACTTCCCCGATTTCTGACTCGCAAAGCTAACTTACCGCAGACTGCGCTAAGCTTTGCTGGGGGTCGCAAGACCGTATTTCTAGACGCATAAAAGGAAACCGTAAGCAAACAAAGATTTTACTTAGGACTTCAGCAAAATTGTATCTCAGTCTACCTATAGATATTGACCCGTCGCATGAAACGTCGGCCAAAATTCGCAAATTCATTTTGGCTTAAGAAGGGGTACATAAGCCGGATGGTAACACTGATTTCCCTGTAGCATAACCTCAAATTATTTCAGTCTCCTTAGCATGCCGGCATTTCAGCTGGCGGCAAATACGCAGTCGGTAAAAAAATGCCTGCTTAAGCAGTGCACACTCTGTCTATTGATTTTGAGCATCTTATTTGAGGAAGACGCGATTCCTACCAAAGAATTACATGAGATAATATTTTCATTTATGTTTTCTAGACAACCAATTTTTACAAGAACGTCGAAAATCAATAAATGTACATACTACTTACGTAGCCATTTTCTAATCGAGTGCTGTATCACTAGGCGTGCGAAAAGAAGTGCACTCGAAAGTGCATCCTGAACTGTCTGAAATATTATAGGATTACGTTGCATGGCCATCAATGGTACAACCCCACGTAAGTAATCTTTCCTAATGGAAAGCGCGTTTCAAAATTTCGGCTAAAACTTCATGAGATCCGTCTATGTCTGAAGGTTCGTTTTGCGAGTCAGGATTCGGGCAATATGGATTATCCACACAGCCAGTGGACAAGCTCTGCTAGCATGAGCGGCTAAAATGCTCAGGCAAATTCGAGGGTTCGGAGGTTGGGATCCCTCTGAGGACGCAAATCTTCCGGTTGTGCGGGTTTTTTAGTCGGCAGCAAAAATTATCGCTTTGCATTAAATCTACATACAAGTTGTCGGTCATGATGACATTTGGTACATATGACTTTTATGGACACCTAGACAGGAAACGGGAACAGAAACCCGCCACAAGTGACGCTGTGCTGAATTCCAGATAAATTAGGTTTAGGATTAGGGTGATGTTTAGGTTTAGAGTTGTGTTTAAGGTTGGGGTTAAGGTTAGCCATGGGATTAGGGTCGGCGTTATGTTAACGGATAAATTGTTAGTTCGTGTTAAGTGTAAGGTTTACGTTTAGGGCATAGGTAGCGTTAAGATTAAGGTTATCGTTCGATTATATGTTAGAGTTAGTGTTAGGGTTAAGACACAGGTGTATGTGGCCGTCCCAAGATTTATCACACGACCAACTATTTCAAGTGTGCGGGGCGCTCCTATTTTCCGATCTTGTTTCAGTGGCCATATAAGTCATAATTACCGGATTTTTAAATGTGCATTTGGGATAGCCATCTTATCTGTATCTGTGACAGCCACACTCTACTAAGTAGTAGTGAACTTTTGCAAATTCACTTATAGACAAGGACAGACGTGCTACTTCCGTGCAGTACGCTCTTTCGCTCAGCAATCAGGCTTTCAGTGCCTGCTCTCCTTAGAATGAAGGCGGCTTAAAACATCGAACTGGCGAACGAAACCACCGCCACCCCCTTCCAAAACACTCTCTTCGAGGTGCAAATAATTTGAAACCTAAGCTGGTATAGAATTACCACATCAACCAAGCATGTTCGGCCTCAAGTAAACAAAGAAGTTTTCCGCTAAGAAGATTAGCCGCGGCGAGCAACGGGGGACGGAGAGATTGTGTCCAAATCCACCTTAAATGATGAGGGTCATTTTAATGAGTGAAGAGTTTCTTCACGACAGCTGAATGAAAATCTGCAGAAAATGCGTTGTTTTGTAATTCAAATTTACTTCGACACCCCGACAAAATTGTCCACTTCTGAGTCTACAATATAGTTAATTCCTAACCAACAGCAATGATCGGATATTCCTTTCCCTGCCTTGAAAAAAGGCTAAACTCACGGAACTCCATGGAAGATGTGCCTTCGTCAGTTTCAGTGTAGGAGGAATGGTGAAAGGGCTTGAGGTCCAAAGCAGTGGGCTAAAAATTATAACAGGGTGGGCAGATAAAGGGTTGTTGAAACAAAAGGCATCACGAGACCCCCATGCAAAAAACTTCATAAAGTGTTTCGATAGGGTATTAAAAATATACCTTCCTACGGCGAAACGCATCAACTCTGACCTTGGTGGAGCCTAAAATATGCTTCTTTACATGCGGAGACAAAGGATATTACTGAAAACAGACAGTACTAGAGTAAGGGTGTCGATCTATTTTTGGTGGAGGCCATAGTGAAGGTGAACATTCCGATAAGTTCTTTCTTTTATTAACGCCAACACAGAACGTCTAACATCACAAAGTTACACGTTTATTCCCTTTTGGGAACTGAAGGCTTGGTAACATGGACCAAAGCCTCTTAGTGTGCTTGCAGTAGCGGTGGCTTCTTAATATACTTCATTTGGCCCAATTGTGAAAAACTCGGCGGCGTCAGTAGGATTCGAACCCACACTAGCAAAGGGAAGATTCCAGTACAGCCAGCGCTCTAGCTACCTGAACTGCGAGGCCCCACCGGCAGCAGTGAGTTTAATCACACTTGAATCAAGGCATCCGGCCAGCCTACTGCAACATATGGAATCCACCGATTCTGAGACAGTAAGCTAACTGCCCAAGCGTGACTTGCTAAGCAATAAATCTAAACTCCTCCTGATGACTACCAGGTGCAATTAATTAATGGGAGGTTTTGGCAGAATGGACCGCTACCAGCCGACTGTTGCAAGTGAATTTGGCCAGCACTTCTTGGATTTTTACAATTCTAGTTTAACTCAGCTGACTAGAACGCTAGCTGTATTGAAGCCATCCCCTGGCTGGCATGGGTCAAAATCCCATCGAGACCGCCAAGTTTTTCAAAGTTTAATCAAATTAATTATTTTCATTTGGCAAACCCCGCTACTGATTTCTAAATCCTAAATTGGTGGCCTAAAAATACTACCCTCATGAGCTGACGTTACCGTTTTCCGAGCGATTTATACTACTTGCATTGCAAATAAAGGTTTCTTTCTTATTAGCCGTCGTCGACCAGCAACATCAAAGTAAAGGTCCGGATAACGCTGGATTCGAACTCCTGCTCTTTGAGCGTTAAATCCAATGTTTTAATATTGCAATCAGAAATAGCTATCGTCGGAGAAACTGTGTTCCTGGCCAGATTATGCACAGCTGGAGTAAGATATGGTTGGTTGACGACGGCTATTAACCGGAAATAGCCATCACAATATCCCATTATTTTGTCAGTACTCCGTTCTGTATCGCTACAGATCGTTAATCAACCGACTCCGAGGGCTCACAATTGAACCCTGAAGCGGATCGAAATGCACCCGTCCTATAATCTCATCGGTAAACGCCTGCCCACTATGGTAAGCGTTCCTCAGCGTTTTTGTGTATGTGACGTAGAAAGATGCCGGTATTTGTCCAGGAACGATGGTGTCCTTTGTTTTTAGGGGTCATCCTCAGACAATTTTGCTCTCGACACTATAAAATCCTACAAAGGCCTGAATGAAAAGTAAAACTAAATAGTACCACGACCACTTTCTCGGTATTTTTGGACAAGCATCGCTGGATCATATTTAATCATTTTAAAGACAATTGCTGCAATTTTCCGATATAACCGTCGTCATGAAATCGTATTTTTCAAAAATTTTAATCAAGGATCTCGTACCATCAAACGGTCCCGATATAAATAGTTGGGCTTTTGAAAGCAGTAAGGGCAACGATAAAATGTTGATTGATTAAGTAGTCTTTATTATATGACAGGTATAAGCAGCCATACAATGAAAGTGACTCGCCCAAAAACTTGAAAGCTGGCAGTTCGCAGCCGACTTCTAACCGCCGTCAGTTGAAGGCCACAAGTTAATTCAAATTTATGGTATTTATATTTTTGAAAAAAGCCGCCCGATAAACCAAAGTCACATCTAGATACAAAGGATTTGGAATTCAGTACTGAGTTACTCCGGAGAGGTTTGCCGACAGAAACCCTGGCTGCCCTTGGAAATTTTTACATTTCTTTGATTCTTGTTAAACTCCACCTTCGATGCGCATATGGTGCCAATACGAGTAAAACACAAAGAACGAAAAAATAGAGAAATGCGTGCAGTTGACTGAAACCACACACAGAAAATAAAAGTTGGAAAACACTCTTTCTCTATACCAAAAGGGCAATTGTAGAAAATAGCAGAGCTTATCCAAGCCTATAACCGTACATTACAAAAAATAGACAAGACAGCGCCTAGCTTTCATGGAGAACCCGCCAGATGTGAACAAGAAGCCGTAATTAGACAGTTGGGCTATTGAACAATATTGTGACAGCAGTCTTGAAGCAACGTCAACTAGGCATTAACAGACAGTAGACTGCGATAGAGTGATTTTTGAATGTTACCAGTCTCCAGCTTCACTATTCACCCTACAGCACTGTTATGGCTCACAGACATGGGTCTCAGCTAACTCTTGTTCAGTATCTGATTGGCCGTTGACAGTTAATATGGCGGTAGTCCACATGTAACCTGCTCCGCCAAGATTCTACAACTCTGACGGGTAGATTTGATTTTTTTAAACTAGCAGCATGTTCAACCACAACTGCCTAATATGGACATTGTGTGGTTACGATGCCAGAATAAAAAAGTTTCATGAAATCTTTTATAAACATTCTAAGGTCTGAGTGGAGTTATCTAAAGTTTGCACATTTGTAAAACCAAGATTGTGTTGAAATCCACAATTCCAGCTAGACGCAGTCTTTTCGAAATGGGTTGAGATATGAATAGCGGACGCAAAAGTAAATGCTTGGTGGACTAGAGCCGGCGAGGAGAAATGACTGAGACCATTGCACAAGACTTCAGATATAAACAATGTCTCGGCATGGGAGGGCACTGCTGTGTATGTATGTACGTTCACTTGCGTTACTTTATTTGCTAAGCATAACTAGTTTGCTATTGTAAACTACATGTAATATATTCTGAGGCGGATCAAGGAAATAATAACTGCTTGGGGTAGGGTGATTCCGTTGTATTCCCTTTGTCATAGTTGTACAGTCCGCCAAAATAGTCAGAAAAAGCTCCTATTTCCACACACCCCGTGGAGGTGTTGTGTTCCCTTGCAAATAAATAGTTGGAATAATCTAAAAATTCGGCTTTCGGAAAATATAGCACATATTCTAAGGCCATTACTATTCCGCGCAATGCATACCCCCTAAAAAGTGTATAAGTCGATGAAGAAATTAGTTGATCGAGCATCGACACAATTTGCTAATTGTGTGAGCTTTTGAATTTCTGCAGGAGACCATCGTCAGGGATGACAGCGGTAATGAAGCAAGATACAGTCCTTAGTCAATCAATAATCAGTGACGACCAGTGCCCTGTATGCGGACGCAAGATCGATAGGTCAGTTGAATGGGTTCGTATCAGCTCCCGGCTTCTCTTGCTTCCAACAAGTGTTATTATCTTGGCGGCTATGAAGTTTGCATCGTGACTAATTTCGAAGGTGTGAGTACCCGTGAGTGATAATTCTTCACTCTGCAGCACAACCATCTATGCTTGTGTATGCTCGCTTTCACTCTGACCTCTATATATACAGAGATAGTTTAGACACAAGACACGGTGTAATACACCGGACTGTTCACTGGAGTTCAATTGGCCTTTA